ACATACATACATGTATATATAAATATATATATATATATATATATATATATATATATATATATATATATATATATATATATATATATATATATATTATATATATATATATACATATATATATATATATATATATATATATATATATATATATATATATATATATATATATATATATTTTATACACACATATATGAGTATATAACGTAAAGGGCTCTATCTATGTATCTGTACATAGCACTACTATGTATTGAGATTTAAGAACTTACATATATGCGATTATGCACCAGGTAATTTGGCGGTCAAAAGGGTCATTTCCGAAACCAGTGTGACAAGAATCCCTCACTTTGGAAGCGTGGGCGAGTTCCCTTGGCAGCCGGGGATTCGGTTTAACGTGAAGGTGAAATAAGGGAGGCTGTGTTTTCGGTTCCGTTGATTTGAGAAATGGTTCTGTCTCGATCTCTTTTTTTTCTCTGTTCGTTTGGTTTCTCTTTATTGTTTATCTATTATTTATGTGTTTATTTATTTATTTATTCGGTTTAACGTGGCGATGAAATAAGGGAGTGCCTGCCTGATGTGTTTCCATTGAGAAATGGTTCTGTCTCTGATTTTTCTCTTTTTGTTTTCTTTCTCTTGCTTTCTTTCTTTTTGCTATTTTTTTACGTTTCCTTGCCTCACTTATTTATAATCTCTGTCTGTGTGTTTCTCTTTGTTTCTTGTTCTGATTTCTTTCTCTCTCTCTCCCTCCCCCTCCCTCCCTGCTCTCTCTCTCTCTGTCTCTGTCTCTGTCTCTCTTTCCCTCCCTTTCTCTTCTCTCCTCTCTCTCTCTCTCTCTCTCTCTCTCTTCCTTTTCCTTTCTATACTCCCATTCCCTCTTCCTTCCACCGGACCGTACATCCATCCAGCATCTCAGGTTAAGCGAATGGTCAAGGAGATTCTCGAAAACCGGATGAAACCGGATTGAGAAGGGCTTGGCAAAGTCGTGATACTTCTTTGTATATTTATTACATTTATTTCCTTTAATGTGATATAATTCTATATTTGAGTTCTTGCGTGAATCCTTTTTGAGATATTCTTTGAGGTATTGTATTCTTTGAGGTTTGAGGTTTGTAGCAGTGTGAGATTTGTTTATATTAATGATTTTCAGAAACATATGACTTTTTTAACATTTTGTCGCACTTGATATTCAGCACAAGGCGGGTGGGGGGATACGAACGTAGTACAAATAAGTTCTCTTTTAGCATATAAATGCCCACTTCATTCGGAAGCATATCAATTCACACTCATAAAATTCTTTATTAATTTCATTTATCACCGCGACCCCAAAATTAACATGAAGACCACGCCCCCAGAACTAAACTAAATTATTTTCCCCCACAGGATGCGCCGGGGTAGCAGTGGGTCATCCCTTCGACACAATCAAGGTAAGCACATTCCCTTTTGCGTATGAATAACATTTTTACGTAGGTTACTGTGTACATTTCTGTTGTCGGACGAGTACATCATAACCAAAAAGACTTCCGTGATTGAGCAACCTTGGGGGGAAGTGGGCGGGGCTAAGGCCAGCCGCTCGACGCCGACGACCAATCAGATTAAAGGAAAGTTGATTAGCGATGAAAGTTCGATACGATATCTATTCAGCGCTTGTCTGCCCTGTGGCGCTATCCGTACTCGTCCTTTGTTGCAGTAATGTTACTATGACATCCAAGTACGTCATACGGCCAAGGTAATAATACCAATTCGATGCGTTCGTTGCCAGTAATACGAGTGGACGATGTACCGCCTAACCTCATGCAACTCCGACGCCAGAAAGACCCTAATTGCTTGTTAGTAAACATAATACCCGGAAGAGATGTCACTGTCGCCGTGACCACTTCGCTGTACATGGCTGATTCGGTCAACGTACCGACCTTTGTAGGGATAAAGATGTAAATTGTTTCGCCTTTTTCGTCCCTGAATGAACGGCAACACGCGCGCTCATTAGTAAATATTTTTTTGTCGTTGCCCTCCTGAATGGTCGTTCTTAGTGGTGGTCCTTGGTGGAGGAAGTCGCTGAAGGACAAGGGTTGTATGGATGAAAGTTTTTGTTTCATTCTTATGTAAAGATGTTTTGTAGGGATCGAATATAGGTATAAAAAGAAGAGAGCATGATAAGTAAACCATGCGCTGTTCAATATATATATATATATATATATATATATATATATATATAATATATATATATATATTATATATATATATTTATTTATTTATTTTTCTTTTTTTTCTTTTTAATCATTTAGCAAAATTTTAAGCTTCTGAATTCGTATTAAAGTGTATAAAAAATCGACATGGGTACAAACTTCTTTTTCTTCCTCGTAAATACCTATTTCAATCGCATCTGTGAGTAGATAGTATCACGGAACAAGAGGCCTATCTGCCCCTGAGCCTCCCATTCTGTATATGGCCAAGATTCCTTTCCCCCTTCCATCATTTAGAGGAATTTCCCCTCGAGTACTCGCAT